AATCCAGTCTGAACTTTCGGGATGTACAGCCAAACAGAGTCGCCCTTTTCGAGACCGGTCTTGGCCCTCTCGGAAAGTTCCATCCACTTTCGGGTCTGCTCGTCCGAGCGCATCTTCTTAGCCCTCTTCTGGAGATCTTCAGCGCAGGCCAGCGCGTAACTATATTCACGCTGCAGTTTCCGTCGCCACTCATAGGCGTTACGCTCAGAAACGCTCGAAGGGTGCGGTCCCAACATTGCCGAAACCGTACTTCGGGCATCCCAACCATGAACCAAATAGAAAGGAGTGTCCAGTCTAGTCGCGTCGAACGAGACATTCAGGGCGAACATCAGTCGCTCAGCGTGGTCATCCCAGATTGATCCATCTCAGCGACGTAGGCTCGAACACTCTGAATAACCGTTTGTACAGATCTCTCCTGCTGTCCATTCGCCTGCGGACGGTATCCGAATGTAGCACGTTGTCGGCTACCTAAGCGTTCTCGTAACCTCGTGAACACTTCACTCATGAACCGCGGATCCTGATCGTGTCGTATCATGGAAGACGACCCGAATCTATGGAACACTTGTTCTTCATAAGCCTCAGCGACATCTTGAGCGGTGATAGATGACATGGGTTTACACATCACATATCCTGTAACATGTCTTGAAACAACAAAAGGAGCGTATTCCCTCTGGCTGACTCAGGCATGTGGGTCACGAAGTCCATAGAAACTGCCTCGAAAGGATACCGTGCTTCGATATTTCCAGGCGAAGGGCCAGCATTCGGGGGAGCTCCTTTTCCACTGGCACATTCCACGCACTCTTTCACGAAATGTTGGATGTCCGCATACATGCCGGGCCAGTAGAATTCAGTACGTAACTTCTCATACATCCGAGTGATCCCTTGATGTACACCTTGAAGATCTTCATGTGCATGATGCAACATGTCTTCCCGAAGTGAATTCGGGACTACCAGTCTCAGATTATCCACGGTGTCTCGTGATCTTCCGCGAAGAGAATGTGGAAGTCTGTACAATATTCCTCGGTCATCCAGAGCGAACAGATCTGCAACCTTACTGATCTTCTTCAGGCGTGTGGATGAGAACCTGTCCAGGTCGTCATTTAGGAACGCCCTTATCTATGCTAGGTACTCGTCGCTCTCTTAATGAACATTGATCCGTCTCCAGCGTTCAGCCTGAAACTCTAGCGGTCCCATGGGTGCAACCTCATCGTCATCAGCTTCTTGTGCTCGCGATCCCGTGAGTACAGCCATGACTCGGGTGGCAGAAGGTAGAGGGGCACATTCAGGACCAGGACTATGTCTCGTTCCGGAATTGCCATCTTCTTCCCCAGAATCTTGTATGGGATCCCCACTGCGAACTCGAGTGTCAGCTTCTTCCGAAGGCTTCACCAACTGCTCGCGGATCTTAGACACTACTTCCAGGTGTCGTTTCTCGAGATCATCCTGAACTGTCCAGGATTCACCTTGGACAAGAGTCTTCGATGTCAGGTAATCTGCGGCACTCGCGTTTCATGTGTACCAATCGGACCGTCTGGAAACGTTTCTTCAGTGTTTCACATTCAGCTAGCCTCCTTTGGAGATTAGGCTGGTTACAATTAATCCGACCTTGGACTTGTTGAATCACAATCCTCGAGTCACCCACTACGACTATGTCCTGGATTCCTCTTTCCAAAGCCATTGCAAGTGCTTTAAGCAACCCGAAGTATTCCGCGTCGTTGACAGTGACTCCATCCAGGATGTACCCTCGGGCATCCCAAACTTTCCATTCGGGTAGCTGCCACAGAATGCATCCGCAACTGCCCTTCTTTGCGGAAGGTTTGGCCGCACCATCGAAGCTCAGGATTACTCCGGAGTACTCTTCCGAGAGCATTTCGACACTTACGACTGGAGGCGGTTTGACGCGCCCCTTGGCTGGAATGAGTACTTCGACGACTTCATCCAAGTGCTCCCTGAGAGTGATACCTGTACCCATAATGGGGGCTAAGCCATTCTCATCTCGACTGACCTTCCGAATTTCCAAGTCGTACTGTGAGAGAGCGACGCCCCATGGCACCAGACGACCTTCGGCGGTCTTGGAATTGATGACCCACTTCAACACCGAATGTCGAGTGTAGATTATCAAAGGACATCCTTCGATCAGATTCTTGAACACATGGAGCACTCGCATCACAGCGAGAACTTCCTTCTCAGCAATATGATACTTGAGTTCGGCGTCACTCAGGACACGCCCCGTGAAACGAACTGGTTGAACAAGTCCGTCATGCATCTGTCCTAGAACCGCACAAGCAGCCCACTAATTCGCATGAGGGATGATCACAAAAGGTTTCGTTCGATCCGGATGTCTGAGTAGAGGTGTAGATACAATCTTCCTCTTCTGGATCTCAAAAGATTCCTTTGCTCGGGATAAGTCTCGTCCTGCACGCACTTGGTCGTCGGTCAGCTCATAGAGTGAAGCAGCTATCACGGCATAATTCTCAATGAATTTATGGTAGTAATTCAGGCTGCCTAGAAATAACTGGGCTCCTTTCAGGGTAGACGGAAACGGTAACTCCTGAATGCCTTTTATGATCTTCGGGGTGGCACGTATCTCTTCAGCACCAATCTCATGGGAGAGGTATGGTATGACACGCTTCGCGAACTCGCTCTTAGGCAACCTAACTGAGATACTCCAGTACCGTAACCGATAGAGCAACGCGTCTAGATCACCGCATAGTTGATCCCACGTGGCCGCCCCATGCGCGATGTCATCAATATACGAACTGCGCCCCAAGACTGGCCCCATTTGGGATGGTGCGGAAATGTTACGCCTGAAACTGTCATCTGATCCACACGTGGTGTCATGCTACGTTCGACGTCCATCTTGTCACTCGGCGACTGAGGATTCAACTTCAAGTGGTCCAACACATCCTGATGCACGAGTGCTTCTTCCTCGGGTGATAGCCGCACAAAACCCCACAGTCAATTGTTGATCATCTGTTGGTAAATTAGTGGGACGTTTTTCAACCCGAATGGCATACGCACCCATTGGAAATGCCCGAATGGACAGGTAAACGCCGATATCAGCTTAGCTCTTTCAGTCATTCGGACTGCCCAGAAACCACTCGCCATGTCAAGACTCATAACCCACATCATTCCCTCGAAACCAGTAATGAGATCGTCGATCAGCGATAGTGGGTAGTTCGATAATTGAATGAAACTGTTCACGACTCGATAGTCGATGCACATTCGAATGTCCACTCCATTCTTCTTGAGTACGATCACAATTGGTGATGCCCATGGCGATTCAGAGTGTTCAATCAGCGTAGCTTCCAGGAGCTTCTTCAGCTACTTATACACCTTGATGACCAAGTGCGGCCCGACCGATCGGGGTCTTTGAGCAACTGGCCTGGCATCACCCACATCCAAGTCACAGATGACGCCCCTCGCCGGAGGCGGGGCAGCGTTCAAGAAGATCGTCTTATGTCTTTTCAGGATGGACTTCAGCTGTCTTTCTTAAGCCTCCGTGCTCTCGCCAGGTTCTCCAACGTCAGCAGCCTCGATGTCACATTCAGGAGAGAGGTCGTCTAAGTCGGGTAGCATAACCAGCTGATCCTTCAACTGAGACATAAGCTGACCCCCTTCACGAATGTAAACCGCCGGTTCTAAATCGAGTTTCTCAGCGC